GAGGCCCAATGTCCTTCTGCTACCTTAATACTAAACCTATAATTATAGGCTCATAGATCTATTTCCCCATTCTCATATAAATATAGTCTAGCATGTGTAGATCTAACTGGGCGCACGCAGGTGAGTGTTGCCCTGAAGGGAGCTAGCTGATGGCAGCCTCAACAGGGTGGAGACAGAACAAAGGGAAGGAGGAAGATACACCGAGCACTGCTTGGGTGGGGAAAGGGCAGGGCTTGGTTCATCTTTGTAAAGCCCATCTAGTGCTGGCCACTGACTGGCCTTCTCTTGGACTGGTCTCAGCAGTTCACCTACAGCACCTGAACAGTCCTCCGTAAGCAGGCAGGGAATGGGGGTGACAGCTGGAGAAAGGGGTGAGGAGGAGACAGGAAGTCAAGCACAGGCCTCAGCCCCGGCAGGCTTGCCAAGGCCGGGTTTAGCCCTCGGGCCTGGAGGATTCCCGGAGCCTGGCAAAGATTACAGTGGGCAGTCAGGTGTTTACATACGGGAGCTCAAGATGATGCCTATTAAAGAGATCAATTGTGTCTACAAGCACCTATGCGTAATGGGATACTGCTGCTTTCCGCAGCCCCACCAATAACCACGGTCGCTAAACAAGGCACGGAGGGAACAAGGGTCCCTACGCATGACTCTCATGGTTGGGGTTATTGTTTGCCTGTTGTTTTTCTTTGCCCTCGATCAGAAAAAGGCTCTGATGGAAGGGGAGGGAGAATAATTAAAAAGTAAAAACCTTACGTAATGAGATTTAAAAGAAAACTTTTGAAGCTGACAAACCACTGCGGGCAATTCTTCAAAGGGCCTGGAATCAATGTTTGTCAATAGCAGTTTTGCATCCTCTAATTTATCTTTCGTAAATAGAACAGCGCGATGTTATCAAGAGCCCAGCCAGGCCTCCTTCATCTCTGGAGTTGCCGAATCAGAACTCAGTGCACATGCTTGTGGAATCAGCAGAGGGCCCGGCTAGGACCTGAAGTCTCTCACCTGACCGCAGCAGGGCTTTCCCTGAGGCTGGGCTATGCTAGAGACACTCTGTGGCAAGACACCCCCCTCACACACAAGCACTCGGGGACCAGGGCACCCGCTCTTCACCCCTGTCCCTCTCTTGGCAACATTCTCCCCAGAAAAGAACCCACCCCATGTCTCAGCCCAGCCCCCATGTCCCCACTGACCATTTGTTTAATCAAGATAGCTGGTTTGCAAAACATTAAACAGTATCTGACGCCTAGTTAATAATTTTCATCCCCTTCACTGGTTCCCGAATCCTTGGAGACTGACATCCCTTCCCACCCCTGTCCCCAAAGGCAGAGGCAACGGGAGGACCTGTTTTTGAGAGTGCAATAGGAGGCCTGGCCTTACAGAGATGTTTGCCAGGGCGCTAGATCGCCAGGTGCTGCTGCTTGTGGTCCTGGTAGGGAAGGCCAGCTTTGGGGTAAGTGTCCCTTTCATCAAAGCCCCGGTGCACCGTGGTTAAGGATCAGGCTGCTAACCGCAAGGTCAGCAGTTCAAAACCACCAGCTGCTCCACAGGTACAAGAGGAGGCATTTGTACTCTTGTAAAAGAGTTACAGTCTTGGGAACCTACAGGGCCAGTCCCCTAGGAGTCAGCATCCACTCAGTGGCCGTGAGTTCCTCCCAAATGCCTTCAGTGAAGGAGTCCTGAGGTTGTGAGGCACGGAACAGCCCTGGGCTGGGGTCACGATGGACTTTAAGTTCAGGAGTTGGCCAGCTTTTGAGCAGAAGAGCCGATCCTATCCCTCACAATCGTTTAAAAATTGTTTGGGGGGCCGGAAATGTAGTTTTACAAACAAATGAACTCACCATGACCTGAACAGGGAACGAGTTCCCTTTCAGCTTTTCTTCTGAGCCTCACGCACCAAAAAGTGCCAACGTGGCCCGGGGACTGCGGTTTGGGCTTTGGCGAAAGGTGGACGGTGCCCAGCTGAGTGTGCCCCCATGAACAGCTGCCAACGGCAACTCCAACTACTGTCAACCCCGGGCCTGGGCTCCACCGGGTTCTCCATGGGGAGTCTGGGGGCCTGGGCCTTTCTTTCAAGGTGCCTGTGGGTGGCCTTGACCCTGCACCCTCTCCATGAGCAACCAAGTGTGCAAGTCATCTGCACGGCAGGGACCGCAGGCCCCCACAAGAGCGACTGCCCTGTCATGTTGGCGACTGCTGAGCCCCCCACCCCCCCACCGCCCCCTGTACCGACCAAGCCCTGTGGTCACAGGCCTCTATGAGCATAATCCCACCGAGGGGCCAGGTCAAAGTCGGCCTGGGAGGTGGGAGAGGGTGGGGGTGGGGGTGGGGTTGTCCGGTGGGGCTCTCAGAGACCCCACCGAAGCTGCTGAAGGCCGCAGCCTGCCTTTCCAGCACAATGCACAGGCCGACCTGCATACTCGGCTCTCTAGCCCTCTAGAGGCAACACTCGCCCGGGCCAGATCCGAGGGTCTGAAGGGCGAAGCTGCTGGCTGCAAACGACCCTGACCACGCCTGGACGTAGGTTGATTGCACGTGGGGAAACCTTTGTGGCTGGGGTGGTTTTGGGAGTGATTATCACGTGGGTGCATTGGTGGGGCAGGGAGGATATCTCGTTGGGCGGGGAATGGAGGGCCATCCGAGACTTGGTGGACCCCCAGGGTTGTCGCCTGGGGGATACGTGAGGAGCCGGGGTTTGAATCTCAGCTTCCCCGGGTTCTGGGACGGAACGCTCAGGAACACTGGTGGCACTGTGGGGTGAACCCTGGGCTGCTAACCGAAAGGTCTCAGGTTCAAACTCACCAGCTGCTCCTTAGGAGAAAGATGAGGCTGTCCGTGGACAAAGATGAACACCCACCACGAGATGGAGTGATATGGTGGCTGCCACATGGGGCTCGACCAGCCATTGTGGGCTGGCACAGGTCCAGGGAGTGGTTCGTCTGCTGTGCATGCGTGCGTGCATGTGTGCGTGCATAAGTGGCTATGAGTAGGAGCCAACCCGACTGCTCCTAACGAGCGTCAGAATCAACTCCGTGGCGGTGGGTTGGATTCGGGTTTGGGGTAGGATGGAATTCGGGGCAAGGAACAGGAACTCTCTGAGCCTCAGTTTCCCTGCCGGCAAAGCAAGAGACTGTTTCTCCCAGAGTCATTGGGGGATGGGGGGCTCCTTACCCTTAACAACTCCAAGATGAGCATGACCTCCCTGGGAAAATGAGAGCATGTGCCCCTTTCTGGGGGTGGCGGAGTCAGGGGACGGGGGCGGGGTGGGGGATGTGACGAGGGTGTCTAAAGCTCTTTGTCTGACTAAGTACTTTTTCATTTAGCACTCAGATTTGTCCCCTAGAAGGATTCCAGCAAGAAGCAGACTCAAGCCCAGGCTTCCTGATTAGCGTGTTTCTGAAACACCTTCTCCCTCCCTCCCGTACTGCCTCCCCCCAACACCGGGTAACTTGTACCCAGATACCTACTTACCTGAGGCCCTACCAAGCTGCCACGGGATTCACTTCCAAAGGCTTTGGTGGGCTTTGCTTGGTCCAGCGATGATTGGTGTGTGTTCAGTGGCTGCAACTACAGATACTCTCACGCCCTCAAAAGCATCTTCCCTGGTTGTTGGCTCTCGGGGCCGAGGCCCAGCAGAAAGACCACAGGTTCGGGAAGCAGCGGCAGAAGTTATCAGAGGCCCAGGCAGGGCCCAGAGAAAGCACCAGTCGGAAAGAACTAGATGCTAAAGTTTGCAGGCCAGCAGAAGCAAACGCAGTCTGTTTGAAGTTCATAAAACGAGAATGGCCCCCAAATACACCCCCCTCCTTTTCTTTTTTTGGCAAGCCCCAGTGAATTTTTAGGGTTAGCAATGAAATTATAAGTCAATAATAGATCAAAGAGAAAATATGAGCGATAGCCTTCAGGCAATGAGCTTAGGCAATTCCAAGGAGAAAAGCCAGGGCTTTGGAATGATTTCTTCCCCCAGATGTATGCCAGACAGGTGGTCGGGAAGGAGGGCTGCCTTCCGCAGGCCGGCGTACAGAAATCGAAGGGAAGGTGGCCAATTAGTTCAGATGCTTTGGAGAGTTCCAGGCAGCATCAGGGGAAAGGGGGCCGCATCGCCAGATGGGGTGTGCAGACTCTCCTGCCCCGTGGTGCTAAAGACAATCACCAACTTGGCCACCATTATGTGCCAAGCCCTATGCCAAGCTCCGTCCATGGATCAGGGCTCATCTCTGAAGGACCCGAAGAAGCAGGCACGGCCATGATTCCCATTTTACGGATGAGGGGCTGGGCCTGAGAGAGGGTGGGCCACTTGACCTTCAGTCCTGTAGCTGCAAAGTGGTAGCCACCCTCTAGGCCATGAGCCCACCCAAACAGGGTCTCCTGCCCAGAGCCCTGGCTGAGGAAGGGTGGCATTTCTCCTGTCCATGTAGCTGCAGGGGCCCAGGCCTCTCAGAAGGAGCGGGCTGTCCCTTAGATCCAGAGCCTGTTTGCTGGGTGGAGGGGCAGGGCCTTTCCAGGCCCTTATACTTTAAGGAAAAGCAGTCATGGGTTGTGATCCTAACCCATGGGGAAGATGCTAGAAGCCTGGCTCATGCAGTAGACATTATAACAACTCCTGCTTGGGATCATCTGCCTTTGGGTCTGTATGCAGATGCCCGTGTGAGAGGCACCCATGCGGCGTAGTGGTTACGCATTGGGCTGCTAATCTCAAGCTCGGCAGTTCGAAGCCATCAGCCGACCCAAGGGAGAAAGATGAGACTTTGTACTCCCGTAAAAGCAACAGTCTAGGCAACCCACAGGGGAAGTTCCACCCTTCTCAATAGGGTCGCCATGGGTCGGCGTCCACTCAATGGCGGTGAGTTTGGTGAGGGGTCCGATAGGATGGCCGTCAACTCCAGGGATCCAATCATGATCCTTTCCTGTGCTGGCCCGCTTTGCTTTCCTTACGTCAGTGGTTCGCAACCTTCCTCGTGCTGCGACCCTTTCATACACTTCCTCATGTGGTGGTGCCCCCCCAACCATAAAGTTATCTTCGTTGCTACTTGATCACTGTCATTTGCTACTGTTTTGATTTTTTTGTTATTTTTCTAAATCATTTTATTAGGGCTCTTACAGCTCTTATCACAGTCCATACATACATCCATTGTTATGAATCGGGTCATGAAAGGGTCGCTTGTTTGACTCCCAAAGGGGTTGCGACCCACAGCTTGAGGACCGCTGGTTTAGGGTGTGAAAGAAAAATGCAATTTTGTGTGGGGTCAAGGTAGCCACTAGACAGAAGTTCAGCAAAGTCCAAGTTTCCAGGGAGAAAAAAAAATTAAATGAAACAGCTCAATGTTGCTCTCTATAATCTGAATTAGTGAAAAAGTTATTGGCCTAACATAAAGCAAAGTAAATGTGTCTGTCTATGCTCATATCTGGAAAGCTGGTGCTATTCTGCATTAAACTATCTGTGGGTGTCACAGCGATAGTGTGGGATGGGATTGGGTTCTCGTCTCTCTTGTCTACAGAATATGTGATCTGAATTTCCATATTGTACAACCCTAATTCACATTAATTGGCTCTTCCCTCTAAGACAGTGGTTTTCAACCTTCCTAATGCTGCGACCCTTTAATACAGTTCCTCGTGTTGTGGTGATCCTCCCAACCACAAAGTTATTTTCGTTGCTGCTTCACCATTGTCGTTTTGCTACTGTTATGAATCGGGCGACCCCTGTGAAAGGGTCGTTCGAAACCCCAAAGGGGTCACGACCCACAGGTTGAGAGCCGCTGCCTGACATCAGGCCGGGTAAAGCAGAGGCGCAGCACGAGAGGGAAGACCCTCCACAGAACAGACTGAAACTGTGACTGTCACAATGGGCTCCAGTGTGGGAACAATTGTGAGGCTGGGGCAGGCCCAGGCAGTGGTACAAAGGTCGCTATGGGTTGGAACTGACTCCGTGGCTCTAACCACCACCACCCTTTTAAAAAGTTTTTCTTCCAAGTGCAGATACTCTACTTGGGAGGCAATCTCAGGACGCACAGTAGGGGAGCAGAGAGCTTGGGAAGAAGAGGAAGGAGCCAATGTAGAGTGACTCACCTAGCAAGTGGCCCCGGTGGATATCAGAACTGAATCCCAGTGGCCAAGTGTGGTAGTCGGTGTAGACACATGACCACACTCCCCAGAATTATTCCAACTCAGAGGCCAGGACGCTGCAGGGTCTCCATACTACGTTCCATTCCTAACCTACCCGTTTGGAACACCTATCCCCACCACTGGCTTGGATGGTTGTCCCCGCAGGGCAGATGAGGACACAAACCTGGAGATGTCCAACTGATGCCCCCGGGCTTCTGAAGCAAGTGAGCAGATGCAGGACTTGCACGCAGGTCCGCGTGACCTAGCACGTTGCCTTGGCCACCCACGGAGGGAGGCTGGGTCCCCTCTCTGAATGATGCCGTGGACTGACTGGAGACTCCGTCCAGGCCT